CGGCGGAAGCCTCTACAGCGTCTGCGCCAATTCGGCCTCCCTCGGCCCCTTCGCTCACCAACCGGAAGTTAATAGGTTTCCCAGAGTGCCTCGCGAGTGGGGGGGTGATGATCGCAAACTCCGGCGGGTTGAAAGCGGGTTCAGGGTGGTGGTGTTGTCGGCGTTGTTCTTTGGTGCCAGGGTGCTCTGCGAGGTTGGGGCCCGGCCGCTGCCGTGCCGGCGGGTGCGATGCCGATTCTCCGGGGCGTGTGGGGCGTGCTGGCTGCCCTGGGAAAGTCCGGAGCTGATCTCTGCACGGACTGTGGGAGCCGACTGCGCTTTCCCTTCAGGTAGGACGCCTCGCCCGTGCCTCAGGCGGCGGGGCCCCGGACGCCCCGGGGCTGGGGTGCAGACGGGCGCTCCCGCTTTCTGTCCCACGGAGGAGGCCAGGGCTGCCTGGGCCCTCGGATTCGGCCTCGACCTTGCCAAGGGAATGCTGGCTTTGCAGGCTCGACTCCAGGAGTACCCCGCGCCTCGCTTCGGGCCACGTCCCAACCCCCACTCGGGTCCCCTCCCCCGGCCCGGCGGTGGAGCACCTGGTGGACGCGGCTTTCTTTGTTCCGCGGCGCGGACGGTCTCCCGCCTTCACCTCGGCCTTGAGGAGGCGGGGCCTAGGCGCCGGAGCCTAGGTGTTGCCTGCGCGCCCTGCCCTTCGGGGGAGGCTGGGGCTTAGACTTAGACCTCAGTTTTGCAGGCACTTCCCTCCGGTTAGGGCACGATTTTAAATGTCACTGGCTTTCTTGTCGAAAAGTGTCGGGTATAGAGCATCTTGATGACGTCTTATTTGGGACCCATTTATATACATGTGATTGTTGGTACTTGAGTACTTGACGTTGGTTATTTTCTCATTTATTTATTTACAGGTTTGTTTTTATACCCAGATGGTTTTCATCCGCCTTGAGTAGTTATCCCAAGAAGCCTATGACTTCATACGTTCGGTTTTCTAAAGAACAGCTAGCCATATTTAAAGCTCAGAACCCAGGTAAGGAGCTTGGGGGCTTGTACTCTTCTCTGCTGTAAGGGAGAGCTCGCTGAGCACTTACCCTGCAGACTTGATAGGCACTGTCAAGCCATCCAGTGACTGCAGGAACCTAACCTGCTATTTGAGGGGCTGTGAAATAGCAGGTATAAGGTGTTTTTCGCCAGATAGGAATGTTTTAAATGAGAACTAATGGAAGATATTTTTAAAATAGCAGCACGTAGAATGGAAAGCAACTAGGGAAGAAGATATGAAAAAGCTTAATTTTGGGCCTACTTGCCATTGGCTTAGAGGAGCATTGATGAATCATTTTACCTCTTGCTTAGCTCCTTCTGTCTCAAGGAATTGTCAGTAGAAGTTGCAGTGAAATAACTTATATGGAAGTGTTCTGTAAATTAAAGCTCTATACAAATTACTGCTAATTTCAAGAGCTTTTTCACTGAAATATTTCTAGGTAGGATGTTTGATGACTCCCTAGAAAGGCTATAGGGCCTTCATTTGAGGTGATAGTGTAAAGATAATAATCAAATTTATAATAGCTAACCTTTGTTTATGATTTCTAGAGCCCTTTACAAGCAGTGCATCACAGGGCACTTCTGAAAATCAAATAAGCTATAATAAAAATTCTTATAAAGAATTTGTTCATGAGACGTGCTTAAGTGCTCACCTCTTCTAAAATCTAGGAGTTAAAACTAATAAGTGGTTTGTTAAAGCATTTACACCCTGTCATTTTAAGACGAGGAGGGAAATAGGAAATAATGAATTGATTTTAGAAAAATTTAGTTTGATTACAAATGGTATTTCTGTAATTCAAATCCAAGATGGTGGTATATGAATCAAGACTTTATTTTGTTCTTTATTCAGATGTTATGAATGTAATTCCTAAAAGACTTAGAAAAAAATGTTTGATTGAAATATGAAGCCCAACTGCTTAAACTAGTAGTCAGTTTCAGAGGACCATTTTGGTGATATGTGATATACTCCTTGATTATTAGATAAAATACTAACAATTTGGGTGAAGTACTAAATTTATCATTTAAATTAGTTGATTAAAGAAAAGCTAAATAATTATATTAAGTTGTGTGTGGTATAGAGGTGTCTAATAAAACTTACTTGAAGAGCTAGTGGCTTATGATTTCCTGGAAGTCTTTAGAAATTAATCATGAGACATACAATTGTAACATTTATTCTCATTCCAATCCATAGATGCGAGAAATTCAGAACTAATTAAAAAAATTGCCGAGATATGGAGGGAACTTCCTGAGTCAGAGAAAAAAGTAAGTATATAGGTTTTCAACATTGCTGGCCAGTTATTCTGCAATTAGAAACAATTGTCATGCCCTTAAGGGACCAGATGACCCAGAGTTGTGTTGTTTTGTTTTGTTTTTAAAACATCCATTATCTACAAAGGAACCTCATACCTTCTGATCTGCATAAATGATGAGAATATGGATGTATGGGGGTGGTGATAAAGGGCTAGCAGCAATTTGAAATTGAAGGCTAATTGCTAGACTCACCTTGGTTAGTATGCATGTGGAAAAAACATCGTTTTGGTCCATATGTGATCCCAGAGCACATTTTCCACTTGATGATTCAGTCTGTCTTTATCTGAAGTCATGCAGTTGTCTTTCCTTGGCAGATATGCTATGTTTAATTGGCCAGCAACAGTTTATTGCCTTCTTATTGGTTTTTTATTTATAGATATATGAAGATGCTTACAAGGCAGACTGGCAGGCATACAAAGAAGAGATAAACAGAATTCAAGAACAACTAACTCCAAGTCAGAAAGTATCTTTGGAAAAAGAAATGATGCAAAAACGTTTAAAAAAGAAATCAATAATAAAAAAGAGAGTGAGTATCATTGAAACATTCTCTTTCTTTGACGAAGAACTGAAATTTACATAACTAGATGAATATGGGTAGTTTCCTCTTTGATGATGTATGTGGCTATGTGGTAAAATGTCATGAAGTGTACTCTAATCAGGAAAGATGGGATAGCCTTCTTTTCCACTAGGATCATTTGTCATTAATCTGTCTTGGAAACCCTTGTTGCTACTTTGGTATGTATCCTAATTAAGATACACAGGACTGGCATGAAAGCTGTAGGAACAGTCACATCAGGAGAATAAGAATCGTTGCTTTTGAGTCTTGTCTAGAATAGCCTACTGATTTTAATTGTTCTGTAGGTAATGGTGAATTTGATTCTGAATATTGCTGAATGGACTGAATTTATTAGGACATCAGGGAAAAGTGCCTATTGTGTCTAATCAAATAAGTACTTGTAAGGTGAAATCCTATTTTTCCTCATTAAAAACCTCACATGTTTCAAAAATTGTAGTCCTTAGCTTAAGTATTCACATAAATTCCATTGTTTGAAAGTGACTACATTTTTGTAGAAAACCAGTTTTAGGTGGTCAGCTTGATGGTCCAGTACATACAGTATAGAAAATGGTTATCAGAATTGAAACAATTTTTCTGAAAAAGCAGGCTATAGCCTTTGATGTGAGATGCCAGAACATGTATCCCCGACCCTGATGTTTTAAGTGCTCCTAAAGACTCAGTCACTTTCAAGTCAATAATCTAAGGTTGCTGATCCAGTTAATCAAAGGAGCTAGAAAAGATACCAAGAGTGAGAAATATGGTCTCTGCTTAAGGATGGTATTTGGAGGGGTGAGTACTAAGTTTACTCTCCCTTTCTCCTTAACACAGCCAGTGCGAAGAGTGGAGAAGACCAGAAATGAGGATTGGGCGGATAGAAGGGGTTTCCCTATCAAATATTTTTTGTCTTCCTTTCTCTCTCCTGGTATTCCCATTATGCTTTTGTTACACCTATTGTAGTTGTCCCATAGTCCTTGAGTATTTTGGGGTTTTTTTTACCCCCTCCCCAATATTTGTTCTCTCTGTTTTTGGGTTTTCAAGGATTCTATTAATATGTCCTCTAGCTTAGATTCTTTTATCAGCTGTGTCCAATCTCCTAATAAGCACATCAAAAGCATCCTTTATTTCAGTTACAATGTTTTTGCTTTCTAGCCTTTTTTTTTTTTTTTTTTTTAACCACCAACCAACTTAAGGTGCTCTCTTTGTCAAGAGAGTTTCCTTTTTTAATCCATAGCCCTAAAATCCACCACACTTTGTGGATGTCCTTAGGACTATTAAGATCTNCCGTTCTTGCATGATGTCTAGAGCCCTTAATCGTAGTTGTTTATTCCTGATCTGATAATTCCAACATCCCTGCAACATTGCTTTGTCTCTTCAAACTATGTTTTTTTACCTCTTAGTCTGCCTTGGATTTTTTCATGATAGCTGGACATGATATACTAGGTAAAAGGAATTGCTGTTAAATAGGCCTTAATATGGTGGTGAAGTGTCAGGGCAAGGGAAGTGTGCTCTAGTGCTGTGATTAGGTGCCAGTCTTTCAATGATCCTATGACTCGACTGAACTGCACACATGTTTTTCAGTTTTCTCTCTCCTCTCCTCCTCAGATGGGACAGGATAGCTAGAGTGGGCTGGGTTTGGGTATTTTCCTTCTGTCAGGTCAGTTAGCTTTGATAATACCCCAGCAGGTTAACCATGATTAACTAATTACCCCTAAGGGCAGGCATTGTTAATAGTAACAGTGCTCGGGCATTTCAAAATGGTTTCCTTTTCCCCTCCTCCTGCTGGAAATGTGGGGATGGAGGCATGGATTTTTCTAGATATTTATTGTGGGAATCTGGTCAAGCTCCTGGAGTTGTAAATCTCACATTATCATGAGGACCCTTCTGTGACTGGGTCCTCTGGAGTTGTTAAACTCTCAGAGTTGTCCACACAGAACCTTCAGCAATTTGTTAATTACAGTTCAGGTTTCCCTACGCAGCAGCAGCTCACGCAGTGGTTTGCTCCTCAGTCTTTGCTCCTCTGCTGTGGTAAGCCTCAGCTCTGTATTCACATCAGTTTACCCTGTGTCGTCCTCTCATGCATCCAAGAAGAGTTGTTGATTTTCAGTCTGTTCAGTTTTATACTCAGTAGGAAGGAGTGGTGACTTCTAAGCTCTTTACATGCTGAACCTGAAGCCTGAGGGTTTTTCCCCTCAGACTTCCGTTCCCACTCCTTGTTGGAATTTTTTTTCCCTTCCCGTTAAAGATTCTGGGTACCAAATAGAGATTAGGTGAGAAGTGTGGGAACTAGGAAGTTGCAAGCAAATCACCTAGGAGAGAAATCCCTAGTAATTATTCCAGAAATAAAAGGGGCAATAGTTAAAAGTTGTGAAGTGCCTGGAGTCTACAGTAGTTTCATGACTGAGAAGTTCAGAAAGAAGGAAGTGATTTCTGGCTGTAAATCAGAGGAGCCCCACTTTAACTTACGAATAAAAGTTGGGTTTATTATTGACTATAACCAAATTGCCATTAAAAGCCACAAAATTTTATAAATTACAAGTACTGCTCACTATCCATATTCAGACACTAGGTTAGGATAATGCAATATATCTCATTCTTTGAACTCAGAAACAAAATTGATTCATATAGCAAGGGATACTTGTATTCTTTTTCATCTTTTCCCCTACATTAGATATTGAGTAAAAAGAATTTAACACATCCATTGAGGTTTAAAGGTTGAGAGACATGCAGGGAAGGAAATGAAATGAGAGATTATTAAGCAAATACTCCAGTGTTCATGACTTATGGTGGAGACATGTAGTGGTTTGGCCAAGGAGATGGTAGTGCTCTATAGGAATGAAACTAAGATTATTTTATCTTTTAAGAAAGGTTTGTACATATGTGCTCAGTGATTCAGTTCATGGAGACCATGAAAATAATATGTAAAGGAAATGAAAATGACTCATAAAAACTATTCTAATTTTCAAAACTTAGTGCTATCCAAATTCTGAACCCAGGAGGGAATAATCACATACTTTATACACGAATAAGAACATTCACTTTAAGGAACATTCTACATAATGCATAGTAATGAATACAGTTTCCATAAGTAAAGTCAACTCTCATACGTTTAAAACTGTAACTCTTCAATTTTTATTACTCAGGAGTTAACACTGCTTGGAAAACCGAAAAGACCTCGCTCAGCTTATAACATTTATATGTCTGAATGCTTCCAAGAAGCTAAGGATGGTACATCACAGGTAAAATAGAACTGTATTTGTTTTTTCAATTTTTATTTTAATTTTTAAAATATTTAGACAGGAAATTTTAGGGATGCCATATGTCAGGTGGTAAAGAAAAGTAGTACATTACTATAAACAAGAACTGTGTAAGAATAAGGCCCTCTTGTGTGTTTTGTAGAAAAATCATTTTTTTATCATATACAATATGAGTATACAGTTGCCAATACGTATATTGTCAACTTTTTAATTTAAAAAACAAAATTTTCAAGTTTATAGGGTGTGTTAAAGTTCTAGAGACTTTTCTTATCCAGCAGTTCTTAACTGTTTTACAATCATTAAAAAAGAATAGTAAGAGGAGAGCTTTCATATTTTGGGATTTGAGTATAACCTGTTGCTTTATGTTATCTCCTTTAATAAAATTTTGGTTATGCCCCTGGGAATGTTTTATGCACATGAATGTTGTCATATGAATGTGTCGAAGAAAGTAAAGCTTGTTATTTCTGTTGAGGCTTAGTCTTTCCTTTACTTTCTTCTTAGAAGGCCCAAATTGGCAATACTATTTTTCCTTTTATTGTATGACATGGTAAGAAAAGTGTATGTTCAGATCCCTAACTTTTGTCAATTTGAGATGGTTTTTGCCACACTGGATTATTTGGATCTGTAGTTCCTTTCACAAATCCTGTTTACCATATGATTAAATAATCTGTATATGTGATGTCCTCCTGGCTAAATACTTTCACAAATTTATTCCCTTTGAGGTTTTAAGTTCAGTTTCTATGGCCCTACATTACTAATATGCAAGCCTGTTTACTTTTTTTTTTTTTTTTTTTAAACATCTGTATTGGTTTCAGAGAGAGGAAGGGAGAGGGAGAGATAGAAACATCAATGATGAGTCATTGATTGGCCACCTCCTGCACGCCCCCTGCTGGGGATCGAGCCCACAACCCTGCATGTGCCCTGACCAGGAATCGAACTTTGATCTCCTGGATCATAGATCGATGCTCAACCACTGAGCCATGCCAGCCCAGCAAGCCTGTTTACTTTTTTAGATGGAATTCACTCGGTCATTAATTTACCTTGGATTTACTTTTCTTATCAATGTGAGAAGGTTATATGCTAGAGAATCCTCCTGAATCAGTGGTTCTCATGTCTGACTATACCTTGAAATCACCTAGGAAGCTTAATGGCTGGACCCTATCCCTGGCAATGAAAATTAAGTCAACTATGTCATTTTATTCATTAAAAAAATAGTAGTTATACATCTTCATAGTTTAAAGAATCAAAATAAGGCTGGTTATGAAAGATACCAGTTTTTACTGCCCTGTCATATTTCTTACGCTAGAAGCAAATTCTGCTATTTTAGCTGATTCTTGTGGTATTCACCTCCATATGTCTGAACAACATTCTTACATTATTACATCTTGATTTTTTCAATTTTAAGCACGATCTATATTTTAGGCATTACTTTCCATTATTTAAGATGAATATTGAACTCTTTTTGATCTCCACTCTTCATGTTTCCATCCTATGTCCCAATATTGTTACCACAATTTTGGTTAGATTAGTATTCTAACCAAATTAATGTAGTATTATTAGTATAATTTGGTTAGGTTAATGATTACATAAATCCTGTTCATAGCTGAGCTGTGCCATTTGCTGTGATTACTTTGCATTTCTTGCAAAACTTGCTTTTCTTGAACTTGATTATGTCTTTCTTTATTCACCAGCTTTCAGTACCTTTAGATACATTAGATATTCTGTCAGTTTCATTCTGGAGCCTCTTATTTGTTGCAGTTTGGTGGTTGACTTCTATGCACTGCTGACACCCTGGGCTCTTTCATCGTCATCCTTTTGGTGCTTGTGCTTCTTCTTCTGTCCTTCTCTTGGTTTACTGATTCTGTTAGAGAATCTTCTCCAGTATAAATACATGGGAGATTAGTTTTTTGAGTTCTTGCATATTTGAAAATGTCTCTGCTTTTACATTTGATAGTTTGGGCATAGAATTGCTTCATGTTCTTTGAAATTTTAAAAAATAATATTCCTTTCTTTTGTAACTTCTTGTATTGCTTTTGAGAAGTATAAAGCCATTTTGATTATTGGTCTTTTGGATGAGATCTGTTTTTCGTGTGTGTGTTAATTTTTTCCCCTTTCCCTGTTCTTTTCTTTGTTCTGACTCTAGAACTTTTATTATTTGTTTATGCATCGTCTGAATTGATACTTTAAGTTTCTCATCTTTTCTGTATTGTTTTCTCTTAGCCTTCTTTGCTCTTTCTGGGATACAGTATATATTTTCATGTACTCTCCCTGTTTTCAGCTTGATATCATTGCCCCCTTCTATACCTGGCATCAGCTGAATGACTCATATTTTACTGTTTTGAGAGGATAAATGTCCTAGAATCTGCCCAAGGTGGGGAGTTAACCTCCTTTTAAACATTTTCAGTCATTCTTTCTTACCTTACCTCTGTTTTATACCTATCAGGTGCTGTCAATTCCTGAGCTACTTCAGAATTCTATATTGTATAAAATACTTTGCATTTTTGGCTTTCCCCAATGCCAGTTTGGGAATAGCTTCATGGTTTAGGTAGGCCAGGAACCATGCCTGCATGTGCTCTTCAGCTTCCAAAATTTTGTGTTGGTAGTGCTCTCTCTTGTTATCTTTGTCCATGTGGGTTTATGCCTTAATTTTTTTTGTTTATTCATTTAATGTTTTTTATTTTAGAATAAACAAAAATTTCTTGCTCACAGTTTTGGAGACTTGGAAATCCAAGGTCAAGGTGCCATCATGGTTGCCTACTGATGAGGGCCTTCTTCCTGGTTCATAGCTGGTGTCTTCTCACTGTGTCCTCATGTGGTGGGAGGGGTCACTTAATGGGGTTTTAGGAGGGAACAAAACATCTTCCCCTCTCTTTAAATTTTTTTAATGAATTATTTAGGTGAAAGGTCAGATTACTTATGCATGCAGTTTTATAAATTATTATTAAACTCAGTGAATATGAAACTTTATGGATTAAACTTTATGGATAAGGAAAAGATTAGTTATGAAAGAATTGAAAGCATTAAAGTAAGTAATTCTTTGCAAAGCTAAGAGTCAGAGCAGTTATTTAGTAACTGTCCCTGAATATATTAGAAGTATTTATGAAGGTAAGTTTAAAAAGTTGAAAACATAACTGTTATGCATTCTTAGGTACTGTCTGGTACCTCTGTTTTTGTCAATAGGAAAACGAAATTCAGTCAAAGTTCTCAGAACAATAAAGTTGTTCTCACTGTACTTAAAATCACTGATGATCTCTTCTTAGCTTTAAACATGCTTCTCCGACCATGTCCCTCTCCTTCACGCGCCCTTCGTTCCGCCTCTCATTTCCCACCCACCCGTTTTCCCCTTTACTCTCGGCTCTGGGACCATCAGCATAGGCGGCGTGAGGTGCGCTGACTCTCCTCTCTGCCTCTCTTCCAGCCATGGGGTCCCTGTATCCCTTTAATTTTGTAGATGAAGAACCAAGCCTACGGGAGGTAATACGACTTTTTCCGAGTCACGTAATTAAGTTCAGCTAAGTAGAATTGGAGACTGGTGTTGTGTTGTTCCTATTACTACACCTGAACACTTTGGCACACATTTTGAATAAAACATTAAGCTGCAGGGAAGAAGTAAAGACACTTAGTCTTTGAAGATAGACTGTAACAATATACTTGAATATTAGTATTTCTGAATCAAAAAAGATAAATATCTGTATAATAAAGGAAACCGTCAGCAAAATGAAAAGCAATCTACCGCAAGGGAGTAAATATTTGCATATTATATGCCTGATAAGAGGTTAATATCCAAAATATATAAAGAACTCAACTCAGTAGTAAAAAAAAATCTGATTAAAAAATGGACAGAGGATCTGAATACACATTTTTCCAAAGAAGACATAAAGATGGCTGATAGGTACATGAAAAAGGTCCTCAACATCACTATTAGGGAAATGCAGATCAAAACCGAAGTTCACCTCACACCTGTTGGAATGACTGTTATCAAAGATAAGTAACTATAGTGTTGGCATGGATGTGAAGAAAAGGAAACCCTTGTGCACAGTTGGTGGGAATGTAAATTGCTGCAGCCCACTATGGAAAACAGTATGGAGGCTCCTGAAAAATTTTAAATTAGAACTATCATATGTCCAGCAATTTTACTTCTGGGTATTTATCCAAAGAAAAAAGAAAACACTAACTTGAAAAGATATCTGAACCCCTATGTTCATTGCAGCATGATTTACAAAAGCCAAGACTACATTGGATGAATGGATAAAGAAACTGTGATATATATAATTCAGCTATAAAAAAGAAAAATCTAGCCCAGCTGGTTTTGCTCAGTGGTTAGAACATCCGCCTGTGAACTGAAGGGTCCAGTGTTGGATTCCAGCCAAGGGCACATACCTCAGTTGCAGGCTTGATTCCTGGCCCCAGTCAGGGCAAGTGCGGGAGGCAACCTATCAATGTTTCTCTCTCTCTCCACCCCCCCTTCCACTCTGAAAAGAAATGGAAAAAATGTCCTCGGTGAGGATTTAAAAAAGAAAGAAAGAAAAAGAAATCTTGCTCTTTGCGACAATATGCATGGATCTTGAAAGCATTATACTAAGTGAAATAAGTCAGACCAAAGAAAGTCAGATACGATCTCTTATGTGGAATCTAAAAAATAACTGAGATTATAGATAAACAGGTCGGTAGTTGCCAGGGATGGAGGGGATGGATGAAGTGGGTGAAGGTGGTCAGAAGATACAGACTTCCACTTACAAATTAAATAAGTCTTGGAGATGTAATGTACAGCATGGTGACTATAGTTAGTAATGCTGTATTGCATATTTGAAAGTTGCTCAAAGAGTAAATCTTAAAAGTTCTCATAAGAAAAAATTATGATGACAAATGTTAACTAAACCTATTGTGATGATCATTTCAGAATATATACAAATATTGAATCATGTTGTACACCTGTAACTAATACAATGTTATAGGTAAGTTATATCTCAATAAAAAAGATAAATATCTTTATTCCAGTCATTTTGTGAATTTAACAGTTTAATTTAGAAAGAAAAGATATTAAGAATTGATGAGGCATTACCTGTGATTTTAATAATGTGAGTATTTGTTGAAATGAGTAATAAAAAATGATTTTTCTTTAATCACTGAAATCCCTGTATCTGGCACTTAAACGTATGTTGTTTTACAGTTAAGGATGAAGACTATAAATGAAAAGTGGAAAAATCTCTCCAGTTCTGAAAAGGAAGTAAGTGTGGTTTTAGTCTCAAATATCTAGTTAGAATATCTGTGAGAGAGTATATTAGGGCAAGGCTTGAGTCATGTGAAAACAACCTTCTGTTACTAATAATACAGTTAAAGTATTTTTAAATATTTCATATTCTTATAATCATTTTGGCTTTTTTTCTTTTGGTAGTTTTTAACTGCAAATAAAATTGGTATTTAAAACAATGTCACACCGAATTTAGTGTCCAGTGATAATCACACTGTGCCTCTGCTCCTTCCCCACATCCCAAGCCCTGAAATTGTAACAATTAATACAAAATCTTTATCTCTTACCTTTTTCTCTAATTTTTAAGTCACAAACACATTCCTTCTCCAGTCCCCCTTTACACATGTAGAAGGATAAGGTAATTTTTTAGTATACATGGAAGCATTTCAGAAATTGCAAAGATTCTTCTAAAGAAGTCATTTTAACAATTACACTTTTTCTCAGGTATATATTCAGCTTGCTAAAGATGATAAAGTTCGTTATTATAGTGAAATCAAATCTTGGGAAGAACAGATGGTTGAAGTTGGACGTGAAGATCTTCTTCGCCGCAAAGTGAGGCTCCAGTCAAAGAACACTGAGGAGTATTAAATAGAAGACTGAGTTATGTTCATAATGGATAGAAGGAAGCCAATTAGGTCTCAATCTCTGAAACTGTTACAAAATTAGAAGGATAAAGTTGGTCAACATTTTATACTTAATTCTTTTTTCTTTAGCCCATGGACTTCTGCCAGGTCAATACATTTTGTATTGGTATCTTGCTTTGGAAAACTCAAACATATAAAAGTTCATGTGAAATTTATTTTGTGTTTAGAAACTACTGAGGATCAAAATAATCCATGGAATGTATCAATAATCATTTTACCTTTGATAAAGGTGAGTCGTACTGTGAAGGTTTTTTATAGTACCTGATGACTGTGGAAAGAGTATTCTTGTTTCCTTATATTACGGAGGCAGGGGTTTCCTATTCAGAAGTGTCCCAAGTCATAGAGCCATAGTGTTCTATGATTAATTGTGGATTTTTAAAAGAGCACCCAGATCTCATTTACGTCAGTTCCAGATCCTAGGTATCATTTCTATTCAGAGCTGATTGTTATACAGGAAAGGGCTTGCTGGTTTCAGTTGCAACCTTTTGTACAAGAGATGGAGAGATTTGTAAACCTTTTTCTCTTTGCCTGTTTCCTAAAGTAAAAACAAAGAAATTATGTACCAAATCTATGCATATTGTTTTATATTGCATAGAATACAATTTGTTTCCTAATTACATGTTTAAGGTGAAACATTTGTTTTACAGCTTCTTTCTGTCTTTTTTTAAAGTAGGGCTTTGTACTTTGAATTAGTTTTCCCCTCTCATGTGAGTATATTTATCCAGAAAGTAGAGAACTTGTCTGGTAAGTTTTAAACTGAAAGATCCAGAAACAAGTTTCCAAAGTCTCTGGACTTGGAACCTGTAATTTTAAAACATTTTATATAAGATAAAAGACTATATAAGGGACAGCCAGCTCTGGCCCATGGGCCAAATCTATGCCTGCTTTTCATGACCTATGACCTAAAAATTGTGTTTGCAATCTTAAGTGGTTTAAAAAAAAGATTATTTCAAGACACATGAAAATGAACATCAGGTTCAGTGTTCATAAATAAAATTTATTGGGATACAGCCATACTCCTTCATTTATTTGTTATTTATGGCTGCTTTTTTGCAACAATGGAAGAGCTGAGTAGTTGCTTCAGAGACTGTGTAGTCTGCAAAGCCTAAAGTATTTACTATCTGACCCTTTACAGAAAGTTTGCCAACCCATGGTCTGCAGTATAGTGTAGTGTAGTGACAAGTGTATTAATATGTTGGGATAAGTTTTTTTAACCAATTGAGAGGTTCTTGTTTTAGAATCTTTGTCACCATGGTCTTAAGAGGAAAGAGGTCAAATCACAGAAGAAGCTAAACAAACTGTTTCCCCACAGCATTAACAAGAAAAATAATCTTGTTTCACATTACGTTGTAGTGTAATAAAAGAGTTCCATCTAGTATGGAATGTGATTCTTTGAAGTATTTCCTGACTTGGTAAATGAATCTTAAGAGTTTTCCAGTTAGACATAGCACAAAAACCCTACCATCTTTTAGCATTTGTTTATCCTCTTAAGAGAGTCAAGCAAAAGTTTTCAAAGTTCACACTACCTTTTTTGAGCAAAAGAGTTCATCTTTCATCATCAGTTCATAGGAATTGTATAACTCAAACTTATACCTACCTTATATTATGCAGACTATTTAGAGAGTCTGGATTCTAGATCTCCAGAAAAGTTTTGAGGATTTTTGTTTGTGGATAGAAAATAGGAAGTCATGACTTGTTCGTTACTGAACTTGACAAAAGTATGTTCTGAAGAGAAAAATATAACAAGAGGAAGCGTAAGATTTAAATGTATGAAGCTGAGTGTTTTCAAACAATGTCCCCCTGTGGTTATGAATACAGGACAAAGTCGGCTATTAGTTAAATAGACACCCTGAGGGGAGAGGTTGGGAAGAAGGGGTGTGCTGGTGTCTATCACAATTTTTCTCAGTTGGGTTTCTAGGAGAGATTAAGCCCTAACTCCCTGTCGCATTTAGAACGGTACTGATTATGTACTGTACTTAGGAGAGTGGAGAAAATATTCAAGTCGTATACTGTGTTCTTGCTTCAGATGAGCCCAAGGAGCACGTGGGAGTCCGTGTTTGTAACTGGGTGGGTGAGGTTGAGAAACGAGTTATGTAAACATCTTTAGGACAAATTTATTACAAAACATTTGCAGTTACCTTTTTCTGAACTCTTAGCACTCAGCTACGTAAACTTTTATACAGAACACATTGAAGTCATATCTTCCCAGTTATATTAGGAAGTTCAGTGTGTAATAAGTTCTCAAGTATTTACAACTTAATACAGGAAAAAAAAAACACTGAAAAGAGCTAGAGCAAAACCATTTTGTGATATTATTAAATTTTATTTGATTTCCTTTGTTAATGCTTTAAATATTAAGGTAATCTGAGCCCATGCCTTTCTTGGAAATTTCAGTACATGTTGAAGACTGGTATGCACATACCAAATCCCAGTAGTTTAACAGTATGCCCAAATTTTCTAATATAAAGAATAAGAAATTATGGCAGTAACCAGTGGCCACTCCCATAAAGCCTTACTTTTTAGACTTAAGTTGACCTAACAAAGTAATTGCTATGGGAGGCAAAGGAAGAGTGCTAGGGGGAAAGATGCTGAAGAAATGAAACAAAGCAGTGTTTATGCTGTTCAGAGTCATAAAGTGATTTCTATACTTTTGTTCATTAGAGTAGCAATATTAGGTTTGAAATAACTTGATGACTAGAAAAGGTTGTGTGATAATTCTACTTTGTGATGTTTAAAGACTATTGTGTGAAGATTCAGCCTACTGTAATCATGTAATTTTGCTATTGCTTTTGGCTAACTCCCTTCTTGGAAATGCCATTTTTTAACAAGGCACATTTTTTATAGTTGCTATGAATGTGTATATTTAAATTTCTGGATTAAAATATAAGTTCATTTAAAGTAACTAGCAAATTTGATTGATTTTTCTGACATTTACTGTACCTAAAATTAATCACCACCAGGAAGTTTTTGTATAGTTAAATGATAATACCCATTGGTTTTCTTAATTTTATCAATATTAACTGTAAGAAGATTCCCTCTTTTTCCTTTCTCACAGCCGCTCTCCCTCTTCATACCTCAAGCTCTTTCAGACAACCATCGGAGTTGCATAGGAGGAATTCGTATTTGAAGTTGATGTACTTTAAATTTTAATTTTTTAGTTGATGCATTTTTAATAGTTGTGATATATTTTTCATGTTACACAATTTAAAGCATACAATTAAAAATTTTTAGTATATTCAGTTATGCAACCATCACCGCAATCTAATTTTAGAACGTTATCATTTCTAAAAGAAACCCATACCCATTAGCAGTCACTTTACATCCCCCATCCTCAGCCCTAAGCAACCACAACTGCTAATCTACTTTCCTTCCCTCTATATTTGTCTGTTCTGGACATTTCATATAAGTGAAATCATACCTAGGGAATGGTGATTCATATGGTAATGATCTTTAACCCTTTGAGGAAATACCAGACTGTTATCCTAACTGGTTGCACCATTTTATGTTTCCGCCAGCAATGTATGAGTGTTCTAATGTCTTCACATCCACATTTTTTCTTTTTTTAAAAAAACAAATATAATTGACATATATTAGTTTCAGGTATACAACTATATTTGTATAAGTTACGAAGCGATCATCACTATACTGTAAATCATAACAAAAAACAAGAACAAGAGGAAAAAATAGCTAAGGCCCAAAAAAGAATAGAGAAGAAATAGGGAAGCAGAAAACAAAATTAAATTGCAGGCTTGAGATTCTGGACAGAAAGCAAAAAAATACTGCTGTGAAAAGAGGCCAATAGATAAGTCCAGGGGCAATTATCAGTTAATAATTACACCCTTCTGAGATCTTTCTTTGTTACCGTACCTCTGTGTGGTTTAGTGTTCCAGGTCTGAAACAATCTACAATGAAGATAATTCCACTTACAACAACTATCACAGTGCCTTGCAAATAGTAGCATTTCACCATTGGAAGGCATCATGGTTATCAGCCATGGTTATTGGTTAACGTTTTTTGCGCTTCAGTTCTATCAGGACTGTTGATGTTTTTATAATCCTTGCAAATAGTTACTTGCTAGATAACTAACACTCCCAGGTAAATGATAAACAATGTGGCTTTCATTTTTTCCTACTCCTTGTCAAGTATCATTCTGTGAGAGACTAATTACTGTTTTTAGACCAGATGTTCTGAACCTTAGCTGCACATTAGAATTACCTGAGGAACTTTTAAAACCGTAACATTCCTGCCCACCCCAGGACTATTAAAGAGCAGCCTGCAGGAATGGGACCTGAGAGAAGGGATACTCCAGCACTTTTACTTATTTTTTAATTTTCACATTCACATTTTAAAATTGGTATGTAAAATAATATGTTTAAAGAGTTGTCAAGCATTAAATTCTTAGCATATTGTAAATATTGACTTAAAAAGATAAAAGTCACATCACTTCTTTAAATGTCTAATGGGCTGTAAATACTATACTGTAACATGTAACTTAGCACCAGGACTTTTCCCATCGTTCTTTTCCATTCCACTTCCTCTATAAAATCTTACCCTACTAATGGAAGATGTTTTCATACTTAAATGTCTTTTATTTATTATCCTATCATAATCTCTGGAGCAAAAGTATGTACATAAATTTGTATTGAACTTTTAAAATTTCCTGTGGCCATGAGGCTTTAGATACTTACTAGATTGTGGGATCATTATAATAACTTAGAACAATTATTTAAAGCAACATTAATACAATTTTGAGGGAATGAGATCCAGTTTTCATCAAAGGGCAAAAAAACCACACAACTACAGTATATTTATACAGTGGAATGTGCAGCAATAAAAAAGGAATGAAGTACATATACATGAGCATGGATGGATTTGAAAAGCATCATTTCTGTGAAATAAGCCAGATATAAAAGAGTATGTACTGTACTATTTCATTTATATAAAAATCCTAGAGAATACATAATTTGTAGTGACAAAAAGCAGACTGGTAGTTAATGGGCTGGCAGTGGAGGGAGGGACACACTGCAAAAGGTTATGGGAAAACTTAAGGATGAAGGAAATGTCCTATAAACTTTAGTGAGGTGGTGAGTTTACAAGTCTAATCATTAATCAAAATTCACTTAATTATACAGTTTATACACAGGGTGGGACAAAAGGAGGTTTGCAGTTTTTCGTATGGCAAATAGTACAATAATTAAATAGCAATGCAAGAATAAATTGTTTCCCATACAACTGTAAACCTACTTTTGCTCCACCCTCTATATCGATAGAGTCAATAAAATGTGTTCCAAGTTTTCGTAAGTATTAAAAAGTAAAATTTTATTGGAAATATGGAAAATCCCTACTCAAAGTACTAAAAAAACCCTCAATTTTGAACCAAAGCTCATAGGGCTGCTGGAGATCCCCCCCTCCCCTGTACCTGACTTCATTTCCTCTTCTATCCCTAACTCCCCTCATTTTACCCACTTCTCACCCACCAGGCCATATGCCCACTCCTGGAGCGTGCTTCTGTCCCTTCCTTTAAGTCTTTTCCCAGTGTCATCTTTTCCATGAGGCCCTCTCTGAGCACCCTTGGAAATGGCAACCTGTCTGCATCCTCACACTCCCATCCCTTCTGCTCCACTCTTCTTTTTCTCTATTCCATAGGCCTTAATACCTAAACGCTATATAATTTACTCATTGTGTTTAGTATTTATTGCCAATTGGATGTAAACTCCACCAGATCTGCTTTGTTTTGTTTCCTGTTGTACCTAGAACTGTGCCTGGCACATACTCAGCACTCAGTAAATGTTGAATAAAGGAAAGAATGAAAGTAGACTTACAACTGAAGACTTGTAAAGTTAGTATATATTTGTGTCTATAAGATTCCTCATTAAACATTTTAAACCTTTCTAGGGATTTCTCTGAGGGTACCCTGTCTGAAACAAAAACAAAAACAAAAGAAACCTTCAGTTCAAAGAGGTTGATTCAGTGTTTTTGAGACAAAACCAGCACATTATGTATGTATACTGTGGAATTCAGGAGTCCCCAGCATAGCCATGGGATGCACTAACTCCAGGGATAGCACAGCGTCTAAGTGAGCAGGATTCTGTAGAGCCCAGCACTCTTCTTTTTACGACGAGAATGCCAAAATTAGGAGGAAAGGTAAATTTAAGGGAAAGGAAGTTTGGGATGGGCTGTATAGTTTGAATTGCCCAGCTTGAAGTACATACAGTACCATCGGGGAAAACAAAATTCTTATAGCCTCTGAACAGATGGCTCTTCACATAAACTGAACGAGTAGAGCAGACGTGAAGCAGACTAGGAGACAACTCGGAAGCAGGAGTAGGGGGAAGGATGTTAACCTTCCTGTGCGGCTTCTGTTACATTTCTTTCCACTCTTTGTATAAAATGAGAGCTTTGTGCTTTTAGTCACATCACTGAGCCCGTTTCTCGGAGCCTTTCTCATTTACAGACCAGAGAAGTGTCGCAGCTTAGGTAGGTTTCTGTACTGCTTATGTTAAGCAGCCAAACCCAAGAAGCAGGGGTAGAAAGTCAGAACTGGGTCAGGAGAAACTGACCCAGTTGTAGGGTTATTGTCAGCGTTTAAAGGGGCTGCTGAACTCTGGAATAAACCAAGGAGACAGCAGTCTCTAGGAGGGCCAACCCAGTGGCCCAATTAAAGGTGGAGTGAAGGTGAAATGCACAGTTTTCAGAAGGAATGCAGAGCGCAGGCAATACTCAGAGACAAACAGAAGCGAGAGTAATCCTCGGGAAGCCCGGCAGAGGTCAGGATAGACAAACACCCAAGAGAGGGTTTCTAGGGAAAAGGTTCGGCACCAGGTCAAGAAGGGCAGGGTGCCAGCAAGGACCCCAGTTCCAGCAGGCGCTATCAAGACACTGTGCAGTTGCAGGGACTGGCCTGGAGCTCTTTCTTCTAACAGCACTGGGGAGGCCACAGAGCATTCAGGTTTGAGACCCCTTGTTCTTGGAATTTGGTAGGATAGGGAGATTTCA